CTGCGTCCTTACACCCCTGGCCGGGGGACGAGGGTTTGGGGTCCTCGCAGCTGCTCTGCTTGAGGACTTTCTTGTTCAAGATGCGGGAGATGTTTTCAGCCGGGTGGTGGGTGGCTGGGCTGGGGTGCTCGGCTCTCTTGCTGCCCTCCTCCCCGGTGGACTCCTTCTTCTCCGCAGGGGCGGTGGGGCTCTGTGCCCGCCCGCAGACGTTCCTGAAGAACTCCTGCACGAGGACGTACTTGGGTGCTTCAGGCTTGGCCCGGCTGCTCTCAGGGCAGCCCGGCTTCCAGATGGACTCGGTGCTGCCCGCGTGCTCCACCACGCTGAACAAGCTGGACAAGCCGTCGTTGATGTTGCTGAGGACGGGGCTGTCGCGGGTGGTGGTGGAGCGGGCCCAGGCAGAGCCGTTCTGCTTGCTCTGGTGCAGGTTCCAGAGGCTCCTGTCCTTGGAGGCGTCCAGCTTGGAGGAAGACCTCCTCTGGAGCTTTGGAGAGCCGTATTTTGGGGAGCAGCACGGCCGCTCAATCCTGGAGTGGACCTTATCCAGGGAGGAGGAGATCTGCTTGCTGCGCACGGACACGAGGGAGGAGCTGCGCGGGGACCAGCTCTTGCCGTGCACGCCGCTGCCGCGCGGCAGGTCCGTCTGCAGGCCAACGCTCACTGTCTGGATGGTCTGTGTCCCCACGTGGGCCAGTCCCACCGTCTGGCTGGAGGCGCTTTTCACTTTCCTCTCCAGCGAGCTGGAGCGGATGGCCTGCCGCACGCAGTTGGTGATCTCCTTCATGTCGTCGCTCATGTTGCCAGAGATCTCCAGGTCGTGCAGCGAGGGGGGGAAGCGGGGCACTGGTGGCACCGCGCTCTCCACCGTGCCGCCGTCCAGCAGCTCCCGCTGCTGCTTGGAGAAGTTGCAGAGCCACTGGCTGTAGGTGCTCTCGGCACTGGCCGACTCCTCCGGCTCCTTCGGCTTGGCCATGGTGAACAAGAACCCAGGTTCAATCATGATCTTCCCCTCCTTGTTGTGCACCAGAGGCGCTTCCAGCCGCCGCACCACCGGCGGGCTGTAGTAGATGCGGATCCCCGTCTTGTCGGGCGCCGTGTAGCTCCTCTGCATTTGCTTCTGGGCTG